CTTTTTAACGATGACAGGCCATTACCATTGAAATATCGTTTATTCTGGTTGCCGGCACTTACACGGCTAACGGAACTACCTTAAATGACTTTGAAGAATTTCGAGCAAACACACGATTCTCTTTCTCTCTTTTTTTCTCTAGATACATTACTTTTTTTTTTTTTTATTGTATGTTCAGCATGAAATAAATAGTCATTGTTTACACCATTTTTTGGCTCTAAGAGTTTGATTTTATTGATTAATTCTAGTGTTGGTAATTATTGATTTAATCAAATATTTAATAATCGAAAAAAAATCAAAGGAAATGATAGTTAAGTAATTTTATCTAAAAAATATGCAAAAAAATGATGTAAAAGTTTTGTTCCTGTTTAAAACAAACAATTTTAATTAAAATCATAGACCGTGTCGATAGTAACTTAATTTTATTTGTTGGTAAAGATGATTGTCGAAAAATTAACAGCCATTGATAATCAAAGAATAGTTTCATTTAATCTTAATAAAGTGTAATTTAGACAAAATGAATGCAGGTTACATTAATGTCATCTACAATCATATTTAATTGAGATCTGAAATAAAAATGAATATAATATAATTTTACTAGTTTCATATTTATGTAACCCAATATGGTTCTACGAGAAAATAAATATAACCTTGGTTACAATGAAAAATTAAATTCATGATTCAAAACTGGTTTCAAAAATATCCAGATTATACACATGAAAAAAAAAAAAAAAAAAAAAAAAAAAAAAAAAAAAAAAAAAAAAAAAAGAATTTATTGTATAAAAACTTGATGGTAGGTGTATACAACTTGATGTAACCTTCGAGAAATGAAAATTATTTTTTATCCTAAGACTTCTGAATACATCAAACGCTTTGATTCAAAGCAAACAGTTCTTGCTACATTTTAATTTCCAGATAAATAACTCATGAAAACTGAAGTTAAAAAAATTAAAGCCGAACTCGATGTCCTACATACACGTATTTCCCTCTTGATGATGTACTCCATGAATGTATCGAATTATGTGTAACAAATCCAACTTATCGCAAATAGGTGAACAAAGAGCCTGTAATTACCATCACTCATAGATCAGTGAGCGCATAGCACACATCAACACGTATATATAGAGACTCTCGTTAAGTCGAATCAAAGTAAGTAAAGAAACAAAAGTATCCCATGTACACACGTAATAATAGGATATCAAAGCGTCGAGTCTATATATAATATCTGGGCCACAGATCGATGCTGTACATAAGTACAACACACATACCTCTGACTCCTTCGCATGTACAATTCCAATGGGGAAGCGTAACGTATCCGTACTACTGAGGATAAGGAAAAAAAAAAAAAAAAAATAGTGGATGGTACGTCCACTTTAATTGTATGCCGTGCAGGAGAAATAAACACAGCGCGCGAATAAAAAGGAGACGAGCGTCGAGAGCCCATAATTCTTTTTCCGGAACGACGGAGGCACAGCCGGAACAAATTCACCTCGACGGCCCGGTATCGGTATGGTATCGGTGTGCGAATCTGATTCGCATGTGGCACGCGTCGAGTGCGTATTTACGTGGTTATGGGGATGCGGGTGTTGCCTGCACTTGTTTTCCGTGATGCCAGGATAAAGAGACTGTGTTTGCTGGGGCACGTGTATACCTACTTGCCGATCATTTCATTAATCTCTCTGCTTCCGCCTGTGTGCTTTTGCTCCCTTTTTACGTGTTTACTACAATATGTGGGTTGTTTTATCACGTGTATGTTTTATCACCTATGATTTTGTTTATTTTTTTTTTTTTCGTCACTTTTCTACGAATTACTTTTAGATGATTGATTTATATCTACTGGTTTAATTGTTTTTGTACCTAGTGGCACGTGGCTCTTTTGGCTTTTCCTTATTTTTTAAATTTTAATCCAAAATGAGCTGAAGGAAGGTGTGTTTGGAAGAAAAAAATACGTGTACGTGTGCGCACAAGACCGAGTAGTAACTAAAACCTTGAGGGTTTCAGATGCGATGAAAATTTATTTAAAAAATATTAAAAAATAACTTTATGAAAACAGAATAATTTTTCTTATATGTGAAAATTACTGATTGTCATGTTCAAGACTACAAAAAATTAACGAGTTTTATAAAGATAAAGTGTGTAAATCACACGTTATGTCATATTTTACGTTTCATTAAGACTAACAATCCAGGAAATAGATCTGTATTCTGTGTGAAAACTACCTGCATCATTGGATTAGGTCTTTGCATAAATAAATCAGTAGTGATTATTTAATGACGTTATTAGAAATCAAAATAATTAATCAGTTTAAAGGTAAACGGTCCTCGTCAAGCATAGGTGCAATTGGATGTTGAACTTTATAATGTTCTAATAACAACTCCTAAATTAGAATGATTTAGTTTTGAGATTCAGAAAGCCAAAGTAAACTTTTTTACAGTTACTTGTTGTTTTCACAATTAAAAATAATTGGATTAAACTAAAAATAATGTCGAGTTAACCAAGCAATCATAGTACAGTTACTGCTATTCAGTTACTTGTAGTTTAACTATTTTATTTTAATCACTATTTCAGTTACATAAAATAAAATTTATTAAATATCATTAGTAGAAGCTTATAATACCGTTATTCTACTTTTTGTTTTTTCACGAGTATTTGTTCGAGGAAAATAAATTTCGTTCCAACCGTTATAAATAATTTTTTTTTTTTTTTTTTTTTTTTTTTTTTTTTTTTTTTTTTTTTTTTTTTTT